TAAGTTGAATCGTACCTGGGTTTGACTTAGAGTCACACTTATATGAGAGAGTCGTGCTTTTGTGGAATGCACATGGTTTGAAGGCCACTTGTGCATGAGTGATTGGCACACATTGACAGGATCAGGCATATGGATTAAGCATGTCTTTATGGGTTGTTTGTGAGTCCATAACATATCAATTACAACAACTACTGCATTTTAGTTCTTGGATCCATTATTTCCTTGTTGTTGTATGTCAAACTTTATAAACTTGTTTAATATTTGTTACACTATCAAACCTATTTATTTAAAAAAGAATGAACATGTTTTGGGGCATAACCATGTTCATTTTTATATCAACAACAATTTTCTTATCTTCAACATCTAAATGACCAACAATCAAATGACCTATTAACTTGTAATCCAATTTATGATTATGTACACCACAAACTAAATTAAATTTCCAAAAATTTATTGTCATATAGTACATGCGCAACCTAAAAGGAAATTCACATTTCCTTGATTCATTGTGATCACGTTTCAACTTTCTATTTGTTTCTTTATACTCACCACATATTTCTGAACTCATCTCAACAAATTTTTTTTCCTTCTAAAAGAACTATGATCAGAACTCTCGATAATTACACAAGAACCTAACTTAACAACTTCCATAGTGACCCATTAAGTATATGAGTATGTAACGTATATTTAGTTATAAAATAATTTCCAGCATCAACTTAGCAAAATTGAATTTATGATTACTCAGTTCACCAATCTCTAGTATAATAACAGACAAGGTATAATGTTTAGTCAAGGTTGAAAATGTGATCACATATATAAATATATGCTCCAAAAGGATGATTTTGTAATAAGGTGAGTCCAAAAATATCATTTTAAATATAGTGAAAATGGGGTTTTTGAGAGATCCCTAAAAAAAAATACATCTGGTAGATTATGAATTTCTCTATTATTATATATTTTTGAACACGCTTTTGTGAAAAACCTTAAAATATTAGATTTTATATATTTTTTTTCAAAATCAAATAAAAACTAATTTAATATAATTTTATTTCCTTGTGTTTTGATATTGAAAGGATTAATCACATCAAGAAATTTGATGTGTGAGGACAAAGAACAATGACAATCAAAATAAATGATCTTTAACAAAAATAATTTTCTAAGTAATAAGACAAAAACTTAACTTAGCAGAAGAAGATAAAGGACAAGAAACACAATAACATGTTTATTCAGCTCGATCAAATGATCTTACTATAGGGGACAAAATAGTTTTTCAATTCAGTATACTTCGAAGAGTTGTTAGAAAAGATTACAAATGAGTTATAAGAAAATAATCACCCAATTTCTAAAAAATAAACCTTATTTTTTACTCAAGTGTTTTTCAATATCTCTATCTCTTTATATATAAATCACACAAGCTCAATGTATTTAGAATTGTTTCTTAATCCCCTTAAATATCTACAACGGTTTCCTAAATTCCAAAAATACACTCTTAAGAATTTACCCTTGTCTCTATAAGATTACCACTAAGATTCTAAAACATTTCTCTTTTTCTCCGCCTCTAAATTTCTAAAGGTTTTGAAGAAAAGAACGATAGAGATACATATTTATAACTACTGAAATCCAACGAATATGTAACAAACCCAAAACATAACACACTAACAATGTCAACCTCCCGCGACATCGGTTTCATCGTCACCCTCATTATACGCCACCTCTATCATCATATTCACCCCGCGTCGCCATACCAGATCAATCGTCAACCTCACTCTACGTCATCGCCCAAGCTCCGCAGCCAGCCTCCTTCGCGGCTATGCCATCTTCGTCGACTTCCATTATGATATCTGGTCTCTACAATTTCAACAATTTTTTTCTCTTCGTCACTTAAGGTTTTAAGGCACACTTACATTAATTTATTACTTATTGGGTTTAAATTTTTTTAAAATAATATTGATTAGTTTAATTTATTTATTTATACTATTTTATATTATAGTGTTATATTTGTAAAAGACCTCGCCTATGGTGATGCCCTGAAACAACCAAGAGGCGACAATAGAATGTCGCCCAAAGGAATGTGTTGTCTCGCCCCGTGGTTTTCATTTGCCAACTATATGGTCACCGAATTCTGTATGGTTCTGGGGGTATAGATAAAATTCGTATATGTTATGTACCCCCAGACTAATGGTAAAGTTGAGTCGGCGAACAAGGTGATTCTAAAGGGACTCAAGAAGAAACTCAACGATTCCAAAGACTTATAGGCGAACATGCTCCATGAGATATTATGGTTGTACCACACCACTTCACATTCCACTACCAAGGAAACCCCATTTCCATGGTTTACGGGGTAGACACCATGCTATTGGTGGATATCGAGAGACGTTCATGGCGACGGTCTTAGTTCAATGAAGAGGTGAATGAGATATGCTTAAGGCGTCCAATGAGCCTAATAAACGAAGTAAGGGAAGCCCCCCCACGTCCAAAACACAGGGTCGTCAGGAGATAAAACTCCAAGGTTAAATCGAGAGACATGCAGAAAGGCAACTTGGTCTTAAAAGAAGCAGTCCTACATGCACAGCAGAGGAAACTGCAATCTAAATGGGAAAGGCCCTATCACATATATCAGAAGTTCCCACACGGAGTGTATAAGTTGCAGGAACTAGAAGAAGTTGCTCGTACCAATAACCTAGAACGCTCTTCATCGTAGATACTATTATAGTTAGAATCATTTTTAATTCTATTTTAAGACATTATGCATGGGTATTTAAAAATAATTATTTAGTGATTTTTTCCTGTCAGGGACGTTCCTTTCTGAAAATGTTGTATGATGAACTTCATAGCGAAGATCATTTCCGCTCTTTAGGGAAACATCTTTCTTCTGGAATTCATGGAAAAGATCTTTGCCACTCTTAAGTGCAACATATTTTGCTAAACTTCATTGAGAAGATCCTTGTCGCCCTTCAGGGAAACGTCTTTTTGCTGGACTTCATAGTGAAGGTCACTGTCCTCCTCCAAGGCAACATCTTTTTGCTGAACTTTATACCAATGTTCCTTGTCGCCTTTCAAGGCAACATTTTTTTGCTGAACTTTATAGCAAACATCCTTGCAGCCTTTCAGGGAAACGTATTTTTACTGGACTTCAATTCAAAGATCCTTGTAACGCTTCAGGGCAACATCTTTTTACTAGACTTTATAGCGAAGATCCTTGTCGCCCTTCAGGGCAACTCCTTTTTGTTGAATGCATAACAAAGACCCTTGTTGACCCATGGGGAAATGCGAACGAGCTAAACTCCCGTCTGAGGTACTTAGTATCTTCTCGAACGGGACAAAACTCATGAGTCACGTCTAATAGGTGCGACAAACATCTAGTCTGAAAAGACTTTATAACAATTCTTTCCTAAGGGATCAATTGAAGTCCCACACAAATAAGTTGAATGCCTTGCCTGAGGGACTTATAGTCTCACAAGTCAGGCTATATACAATTCTCTCTGGAAGACTTAGTTTCTCTAGGCTAGATAAACTCTCGCTTGAGGAACTTAGCGTCTTCTCGGGCGTGATAAAACTCAGGAGTCACGCTAAAAGGCCCAATAAACATCTAGTATGAGAGATTTTATAACAAGTCTTGCCCGAGGGCTTGATGAAAGTCTCACCTAAATAGGTCAAATGTCTCGCTTGAGGGACTTATAGTCTCATCAGCTGGGATGTATACAATTTTTTTTGGAAATCTTAGATTCTCTAAGTTAGCTAAACTCTCGTTTGGGAAACTTCGTGTTCCTTTAGCCGAATTACACATGGCTACGACCAAAGTACCTGGATCTCCCAAAATAACTAAAACCTCATGATAAGCCATGATTGAAAAACACTTTGTCTTGGATCAAATGCCTCATGCCTGAGGGATTATGTAATGTTATATTTGTAAAAAAGCCTCGCTTAGGGCGATGCCCTCCGACCACCAAAAGGATAGAATGTCGCCCAAAGGAAGGTATTGTCTCGCCCCCATGGTTTTTCCTCACCCATAGGTGGGAAACGTGGGATAAGACTCCTTGGGAAAAGAGAAAGTCAAAGTCATTAAATGAACCATGACTCCCTTAAAAATAAAGATTCAACCGTCCACGATTGACTAAGTGGACGATGACCCTTTTCAAGAAAACCTTAAGTCCTAGGAACCTCTATAAATACATCTCCCCTCAAGGGAGAAAATATAGACATCAAGTAATACATATTCTCCACATCCTATATAGCACGACGTTCATCTCTATCTTACAACACACTTGCCACCAAATGTCATCAATCATTAGTAAAACCTCTAACCTCACGTAAACATGTCTCATAACCTACCTTAAAACACCACCGTGCAGAGTTTCTCACCTCCACGGGCAAACCCTACCCACTAAATCTTGATATAAACCTACTAAGGCCTCTAAGTCTCTCTGCCATTGTAGGGGGAACACACACATGTACTCTTTGATCAATACATTATTATAATGCTAAAATGATTGTGTTATTTATTAGTAAGTTATGCCCTTTCTTATTTTGTGTTTTTATTAATTTCAACATCATTTGTGAGATATAAAGTATGTTCAATGAAACTTATTTTAGAATATTTGAATAGTTGTATAAATATTAAAAAAATATAAATTATTTATTTACATAATTTGAGAGTATATAATAATATAAAAAATTAAGTAGAGTTATTTAAAGAATTCAAATAAACGTTGGATACTTTAATGATATTTAGTTTTAAAAAAGAGAGAGAGTTATAATAGGGACAGTAGAAGTCAAAAATAAATATTTTGCATTATTTAAAAAAAAAACTTTGAATTGAGTGTTGTATTATATTGTTTGAGCAATAATAATAATAATAAAATTTCAATATGATTATGAGAGATAGAAGGTGGAGGGAAATTCGGATAAAAGGCCAATAGAAGAAAACCAAACAACAGTTTCTCTCTCTGAATTGTTTGAATTGAAAGAAAAGAAAAATAGAGAGAGAAAGAAAGAAAGAAATGGAAGCTGCGATGGGACTGATGCGGAGGATTCCACCCAAACACACCGAAACTGCTCTCTCTGCGCTTCTCAGTCTCATGCCCAACAACTCTTCCGATCTCCTCTCTCAAGTCGATCAACCCCTCCAGGTCTCTCTCTATCAATCTCTACATTTTTCCTTTCAATTGCATTCTTCTTGCTCTTTTTCGCTCAATATTAAAAATAGGGTTCAATGGGGTTAATTTTTTTAAAAATTCAAGCTTTTTGTTTATTTGTATGAAATTGTTGGTGATAAAACAGGTTTTGTGCGATGTGGACTGTGGGAAGGAGTTCATTTTGTGTGAATATAACAGAGATGCAGATTCTTACAGGTTTCTCATGTTTCTCTATCTATTTAACAAACCCTTACTTGAAGCAAAATAATACACTCCATTTATCGAGTTTAATTGCATTGCTTTTTTTTAATGGAATTATAGTTATAATAAACTTGCTAGTTATATCTAAAAAAGTTTTAGAGACTTTGTGTTGGTTTGCTATGGTTAAGTTGTCACAAAACAAATATGGACTCTATTTAGTCATGGTTTAACCATAGCAGATCTATTATGAGACCCTATTTATAGCCACAAGTTTATCCTCACAAATTTGAGGCCATGTGCTGAAGCCGACCCTGACTAGGAAGCTTTGGAATTTAGCAGATCTTAAGGCATGAGATTTTCATTGCATGAAATTGATTTGATTTTTATTGGGGTGATTGATTAATGGAATTTGTATGTATGCTTTTAAGAATAATAGATCAAAGGAATGAAAAAAGACAGGGTTTTCATTGATTTGAACGATACCTATATAATACCTAGAGAGGTTTTGCGAAAGGATCTAGAGAAGAAAAGAGTTTGGATTGCTTAATTTTTAAAAGGACGAGGGACTTATGAAGGGGTCATGACTAGTGGGGGAACATACGGTGGAACATATAAGATTTTGATCCTAGACGTGCTTATTCAACATATTTAACTGACTGTTTGCATATTTTTATGTGAATAATATGGTCTTAGTTGCAAGAGAATAAATCAATGAGAGGTTAGAGATATGGGGACAATACTTGGAAATATATAGTCACGTATACAACAGAGTATATAGAATGCAAGTTTAGCAAGCAATAGACAAATCCTAGCTTGTCGGTGAAAATTAGAGAATAAACAATGAGGAAGACCTAAAAAAGCTATAAGAGAAACTATTAAGAAAGATCTCGAGATTAATGAGTTGGATAAAAATATGATATTTGATAGAACATTATCACGGCGTTTGATCCATGTAGGCAACCCCACTTAGTGAAACAAGGTTTGGTCGTTGTTGTATTATAAGAATTGCAAGCTGCCATGTTGTATGAAACAAAATGTTGGGTAGTAAAAACCAAGAAAGTAGACTCGGTGTTGTAGAGCCAAAAATAAGAATATCACAATAGATGAGTGATTACACAAGATAAGATTGGAAATATCATTCTTTGTGAATTGAGTTAGCTCTTATAGTAGAAATTATGGTTGATTCTCATCTAAGGGATCGAACCTTAGACTTAAATGTAATACTCCTTCGATGTCCTAACCCATACCATTGGGCCACTCCTTCGAGTACCTTATGGAAAAATCCAATATTTATTTCTTAGGCCTGTCCTATTTATTTCCCTATTGTAATTTATTTTAGTATTTAAGGAAATACAAGGTTAACTTATTATATTATTGTATCTTTCTACAGATCACCCTGGTCCAATAAATACCACCCACCATTAGAAGATGGGTCGCTTCCTTCTTTAGAGTTGAGGAAGCTTGAAATTGAAGCAAATGACATATTTGCTATATATCGTGACCAGTGAGGTTCTTTACTTACTTTATCTTTTGAGCTTTGCTTATGTGCATTTTTAGATGTCTAGCAAGGGCACCTTTCTACCTAGTCCCTTATTGCCGAATTTGTTTTATTTCAAAGAAAACCACTTGATGATTGACCATCCTTTGTTTTCTTCTAGCTATCTAAATGAATATAATTATTAGCTAGTTAGTTAAGAAAATATGTAACGATTAATGAATAATGCCATAGGTATTATGAAGGTGGCATTTCATCAGTTTATATGTGGGAAGATGAAAATGAAGGTTTTGTAGCTTGCTTTTTGATAAAGAAAGGTAAACTTGCTATTTGAGTATATACTATAACCGATAACACTTCTCATCTTTTTTACCTTTTCTCTAATCATGATTGTTTCCAATTTCATGATTATAGATGGCTCAAAGACAGGGCAAGGTCGACGGGGATATTTAGAAGAAGGAGCATGGGATGCCATACATGTTATAGAGGTAAAACACCTTTGTTTTTAAGGCTAGGCATTGATAAAAGTAGCAGCATAATGATCTTTAATCATTTGGAAAACTATAACACACTTTCGTTCTAGTTTAGCTTCTTTTCTTGCATTGATTTCAAAAATTCTTATCATGCTCCTTAATGTCAAATTAGGTTGGACCAGAGGAAGAAGAAAACACCAATTACCGGTTAACCAGTACAGTCATGTTGACTTTGACTACAAACAACGAATCATCAGGAACCTTCAGCTTGTCTGGATCAATTAGACGTCAGGTGCTTTCTTTGAGAATTCTCGTATATTGGAACTTAGATCATTAGATTAGCAATTTATGCTAAGTTTGATTTTCTTTCTCAAGAAGGTGCATCTTGAACAATGCAACTTCATTGAATAAATCATATGGTTGTTGTTTGACAAATCCACATGTATTACACTATTAGAAGAAAGACTCAACTAACTTCACTTAGTTGAAGTCCATCTCTAATCAACTCTAGGTTAAATTTACTCCTTACAATAACAAGTCAAGTCTAAGCCTATACAAGGACCCTTCCCCTCATAATTGTAATTGAATTTTAGAACCAATAATAATCAGTTCAAAACTCTCTCTTTCTTTCTCTTTCTCAATCTATGTTCTTAAAGCTGAGAATTACAGAAATCTAACATGGTACCCGAGTCAGGCTCTGAGTCATTCACCATTTATGTTCACGCTCCGGGGTCAATAGTGTTAGACATGAGGGGTGTATTGGAAAAAATCTCTAGCCCCACAAAGAATAAAGCAGACTAAAATGAGTTTATAATGAATGACAGACCATTTTTGTAAGAATATTCAATATGGCTGTTTTGTAAGCCCAATAAGTCTGTAACTGAAAATTTTGGTATAGGTTGGTCATTCAAGTAATAAGTGCCTCTAAACACCGGTAAGCCTTAAAACTTCTTTTGGCATTAGAGGTGAAATCTTTGAAGCTTGTTCAATCAAGTAAAAATGTTCAATAAATCCTAATAGAAGGCTAACCAAATGCTTTCTAACCATTAAACTTAAACACTCCTTAATACTCATAATTATGTGCTAACTGCCAAGTATTAATCAAGTCTCCCTGCATTTAAGATTTTCCGGCAGGTTTTCCACTTTGTCAAAGTGTGTATCATTTTATTTTACCAGTTTAAGTAGGTCACGATATTTACTGACACAAGCTATACATTGTTTGTTTATCTGGAAGAACATGCACTATGTAGATAGTATTTCTTTAGCATGTCAGCTGCTCAACATATTTAGTAAAGATGCCAGCATCTTAGTAAAAGTGCTTTATGATAACAATTGCAGATGTTTCCAACATAACTGTAGAATCAATTAGCATGCTACCAGAATTTGAATTAGTAAACAGATAAAATTCTGAAGGAAACATTAACTCCATTGTACATTCATACAAAAGATGGAATGGTAAAGAGAAACTGAAAAACTGCTTTATCTATCCAAGCAAATATGTCTCCCTCTAAACAGAAGTCTCGCAATAAGTTTTTTCTTTAACCCACTAACCCTTACTAATCCTTATTCATTAGCAATGTAACAGTCTACTTAAAAGTGAACAATATTCTCCATTAATTGATCTGTTGAAGTGTGAACATTGGGTAGAGATGTGTCTGATATTGATAGCTTGAATAATGATTGAGGACTGGGGAGATGTACCTTAAGTACCAAAAATGTTAGCTTTAAGTGAAATAGACATCTATCATTTGGGCAATGGCGTCTTTTGACATTTAAATATGTGCTTGAAAGAGCAACATAGAACATACTGAGTAATTACAAATCAGAAAGCTTCTTACCGATAATTAAGTGTCAGTTTATGGCAATATTTACAAAATCCCATCTACCATTGAATCCTAAATCACAAATCAGAAAGCTTTTTTTTTTTTTTTTAAATCCTAAATCACATTTTCCTGATATATTAGATGAGTATGAGGCTATCAGTTGCTGATGGACATCTTTGTAACATGGGAAGGATGATTGAAGAAATGGAGAGTAAGCTGAGGAACTCACTTGATCAGGTACTTAATAACTATGCCATTTCAAACCAGAAGAAGGTGTACTTCATCTTGTCAACAGTCTATGTTATTGCGTATTTTACAGGTATACTTTGGGAAAACAAGAGAAATGGTTTGCACACTAAGACCGCCATCTGAAGTGGTGCAGTTGAGAATCCCTGAGAGCTGATTGCGCTACGCCGTGTGCCGGAGACGATTTTACTTTGTTTTCTTCATATGTTTTAGCATATTGGCTGGTAATTTGTGTCACATTATTTGAAGTAGGAAGTTTCACATGGATTGGTAGTTCTGCTTGTTGTTTGATGATTGTAAACTGTTATGTTCTGTAGTCGATATCAGTATAGCACCATGTTTGTTGTTTTCTTGTTGATACTGAAATGATGATTCAACAGAACAGTGTAACTCAATAGCTTATGGGAATCCTGAACCTAAGCAATTTATGGTGGATAATTATTATTATTATTTTTTGTTTCATGTCACATCAAAAAATTTATAATGGGTGAGTTCGTGACTTTTCAACTCTTAAAGGATCATTTTGAGTAGCATCACACTATTCTAACTTCTCTATTATAATCTTCTACTACTACTGTTTTTTTTTTTTAATTTAAATTCTTATTATTATATTTGATTTATTATGCTATTAACACAATCTTTTCTACATATATTTGTTCTATTGATTGAAAATCATGTAAACCTCTCACCAAACTTATGAGGCAACCACAAGATTTAGAGCCTGTTTTTACATAAAATTTGAATAGCCTTTTTTTACAACTAAAACAACAATTTTACTGTTTTAATTGTGTTTGTTTAAACTTTTTAAACTAATCAAAATATATATACATATATATTATTTGGGAAAGGGAGAAACTGACATTGATTATAAAGTGATATTTATAGTCATTTATATCTCTTCTCGAGATAATTTGAAGTATGTTTTGAAATTTAAAAGTCTGAATGTATTGAGTGGAGTGTAGTAGATAGCAATGAACGGCTTTGGGTAGATTTGGGTAAGATATTATAGTATTCGTCTTCATATTTATAGTTGTAAAAAAATTTCGTATTTGAATCTATATCCGCTTGAGTATCAATATTGACACTCTTTTTCGTACCCTACACTCTTTTCCGTACCTTCCAGATATATAAGTACCTTCCAGATATATAAGTATTCGTATCTGTTATTATTAATTTTAATAAATAAAAAATTTCGTATCTGAATCTATATCCGCTTGGATATCAGGAAATTTTACGCCATACCCCTACAATTATACCCATACCCCTACACTAAAATTTTTTGGACCAAAATACCCTCGTATAAAAAGTTATAATTTTTTGGTTTGTTTATCGGAAGACTTTTTGGAAGTCTTGCGGTTCACATTTTTTTTGGTTTGTTTACCGGAAGACTTTTTGAAAGTCTTCCGGTTTACATTTTTTTGGTTTGTTTACCGGAAGACTTTTTGGAAGTCTTCCGGTTCACATTTTTTTGGTTTGTTTACTGGAAGACTTTTTGGAAGTCTTCCGGTTCATGTTTTTTTTTAATTTTTAATTTTTTTTAACATTCAAATTACAAATATATTTATTCTATTTACTCTATTTTAGTTAATTAATATATTTATTATATTTACTCGATTTATTCTATTTATTTATTTAATAATAATTATTCCACTAATTTGATTTTTTATTAATTTACTATATTTATTTACTTAATAATAATTACTCCACTAATTTGGTATTGTTTTTTTTAATCAATAAAAATTAAAATTGTTAACTAATTTATATATTGATTGTGTTCTTTAAAGAAGAAAATTAACAATTTAATAATATGTTTATATGAAAAATAAAAATTAATATCATATTTAAATTATAATCCTATCATTTCTTCTATCAAAAAATTTCACCAAAAAATTATAATATATAACATTTATAATTATTTAAACAATATTTTATGGGGTAAAATATTAACTTTCAAAAATATATTTTATGGGGTAAAATATACTTTTAAAAATTTTCACCATAAAATATTAACTTTTAAAATTTGTAAGGGTAAAATATTTTATGGGGTAAAATATTAAAAACTAATTAAATCATAAATATTTAGCAGAAGAGTGATGAAAACATGCTTTAGGAGAAGAGTGTAGTGAAATCATCCAAAGGAAGCTTCCACCCAAAATTATTAATCAGGTAGATTCACTATTCTTTATGTTATTGGTTCGCTAAATATTAGCATTTCTCTGTGTGATTTAAGAGCTAGCATCAATCTGATGTCATTGTCCATGATGAGGAAGTTAAAATATGGTGAGTAGAAACCTACTCAAATGATTCTAACACTGGCGGATAGATCAATCACATGCCTATGTGGAATTCTTGAAGATGTCTCGGTAAGAGTAGATGTTCTATCATTTTCAGTCGACTTAGTGATTCTAGATATGTCTGAGAATTTTGAGACACCACAATTACTAGGAAGAAAATGTTTATGATTTAATTAGTTTTTAATATTTTAAAAGTTAATATTTTATCCCATAAAATATTTTACCCCTATAAATTTTAAAAGTTAATATTTTATGGTGAAAACTTTTAAAAGTATATTTTACCCCATAAAATATATTTTTAAAAGTTAATATTTTACCCCATAAAATATTGTTTAAATAATTATAAATGTTATATATTATAATTTTTTGGTGAAAATTTTTGACAGAAGAAATGATAGGATTATAATTTAAATATGATATTTATTTTTGTTTTTCATATAAACATATTATTAAATTGTTAATTTTCTTCTTTAAAGAACACAATCAATATATAAATTAGTTAACAACTTTTATTTTTATTGATTAAAAAAAACAATACCAAAATAGTGGAGTAATTATTATTAAGTAAATAAATAAGAATAAATTAATAAAAAATCAAATTAGTGAAATAATTATTATTAAATAAATAAATAGAATAAATAGAGTAAACATATTAATTAACTAAAATAGAGTAAATAAAATAAATATATTTGTAATTTGAATATTAAAAAAAATTAAAAATTAAAAAAAATTAAAAAAAAATATGAACCGGAAGACTTTTTGGAAGTCTTCCGGTAAACAAATCAAAAAAATGTGAACCGGAAGACTTTCAAAAAGTCTTCCGGTAAACAAATAAAAAAAATGTAAACCGGAAGAAAGTCTTCCGGTAAACAAACAAAAAAATGTGAACCGGAAGACTTCCAAAAAGTCTTCTGGTAAACAAACCAAAAAATTATAACTTTTCATACGAGGGTATTTTGGTCCAAAAAATTTTAATGTAGGGGTATGAGTATAATTGTAGGGGTATGGGGTAAAATTTCCTGGATATCAATATTGACACTCTTTTCCGTACCCTATAGATATATAAGTATTCGTATTTGTTATCCATATGTTTAATAAATAAATATATAAAGTATAAAATATTATAATATTTTAAGTTTTTAAAAATATTAAAAAAAAGTGAAAAAATTTATTTTTGAATTATGAAATAAATGATCACTTATATTAAATATGTAATAGTTTAAAATTGATGTTTCTTTTAATTTTATAAATATTTATTTTTATATAATAATATAAATTAAAATATATAAATATATATTGCGCTGGTAAGGGGCGGATTGGATACTAAGGTGTCTATACCCGCACTTATTTTCGTTTATTTAAGTGGGTAATTACCCGACTTCGTACTCATATTTATTTTTGTGGATTTTTACCTTATCCGTTGTGGGTAATTTTTGTTGGTGCAAAGGTAGAATAAATGATGAAAGGAGAAATATTCTATTAAGAATGACGGCTACAAAAACATGATGATAGTTACAATGATTGTCACCATATTTATAAGCTAAAACTAGGGTTACTAGAATAAGATAAAATACTAAAATACCCTCTAACAAACTTAGGGGCTAAGAAAATAGTATAACTAAATAAATATGAATTACTGTTAATATTCTAATACCATCCCTTAATTCATATTCCATCAAAACTTGTAACACCAATTCCACCCCTTAGTCTGAGAAATTGATCAGTCTTGATAGCTTTCGTCAGAACATCTGCCAACTGCTTCTGAGTGCTGCAGTGTACAACTTCTAACACTCCACTCTGAACTTGATGTCTCAGAAAATGATACTTGGTCTCAATATGCTTGCTTCTCCCATGCAACACTGGGTTTCTGGCAAGATTGATTGCAGACTTGTTGTCAATCATCAACTTCAGAGGTTTGTCTACTTTAATCTTCAGATCCTGCAACAGATTCAGAATCCACACAGCTTGGCATGCAGTAACAGCACCTGCAATGTATTCAGCTTCACAGGTTGACAACGCCACAACAGGTTGCTTCTTGGAACACCAAGAAATGGAACCTCCCAGAAATTTGAACAAGTACCCAGATGTACTTCTTCTGTCAACTCTGTCTCCACACCAATCAGAGTCGGAATAACTCAGAAGTTCTGACTCATTATTTCCTCCAGAGGGAAATAACACTCCATACTTCAGAGTTCCTTTGATATACCTCAGAATCCTGACAACAGCTTGGTAATGGAACCACTTAGGTTTACTCATGAACCTACTAACCATCCCAACTAAGTAGCAAATATCAGGCCTGGTATTGCACAGATACCTCAGAGAACCAACCAACTGTTTGAAGGTTGTAGCGTCCACATCCTTTCCTTCAGAGTCTGAATCCAGTTTCTGATTTGTATCAGAGGGTGTGACAGCCATCTTACAATTCTTCAGTTCAAATCTCTTCAGAAGTTCTAATTCATACTTGAGCTGATGCAAAATGATACCTTTCTCAGAATATCTGAACTCCATCCCTAGAAAGTATGTCATTTTGCCTAGATCAGTCATTTCAAATTCATTCATCAGAACTTTCTTGAACTTGGCTATCTCCTGTTCAGAACTTCCAGTCAGCAGTATATCATCAACATATAAACATACCAGAGTCATATTGCCTTCAGAAGTATGCTGAACATAGACACCGTACTCCATCTCACATTTCTGAAAGCCTTGCTTCTTGAAAAATGAATCAATTTTCTGATTCCAAGCTCTGGGCGCTTGTTTCAATCCATATAGAGCTTTGTATAATCTGTACACCATCCCTTCCTGATTCTTTTTCACAAATCCAGGAGGTTGTGACACGTAAACTTCTTCTTCTAATAGACCGTTC